CAGCTGAAGCAAAACACAAATCTTTTGTAAAGTACTTACTTTATGAAAAATTTTCTATTGTAATTTGTAATACTTAATTTCAAAATGAAGTCTTATTTTCTTCTCAAATACTATGTTGATGTTATGTTTTTGTCAGCACATTTTTTTTTGAAATTAATGTACATTTCCATTTTTACTTCCGTGGGACGGTTTAACTTCTTTCATTACTAAATATTTAAGATTCAAGACTTAAATCATACTGCACTTTTCTTTCCATTGCGCTCTTCACTTCTTCCTATTCTCTTAGTTTTCTATTCTCCTGTTTTTTGTCCTTTATTTTGATTTTTCAAAGAATTTTTTGTCAATTGTGGAGCCTAACTGGTCAACCATGACACTGGGGGAGGTGACTCGATTAGAAGATACTTATGTCTTCTATCTTGTTATTAAGCTTTGGGTCATTGGAAGAAATAACCAAAATATGAACTTGCTTGGGAATGATCTCATTTTTTTACCGAGATCAGTTCGAGTGTGGTTTTTGGCTACTTTTTTCCATCAGCTGTGAGCAATCATCAATCACTATAGGGTCATCCCCACCCAGATTATGTTGAAATCCATCATCTCCATCATGAAGTATGTTATCTTCTATCACTGAGCCAGGATTCCTTGGTCAACAAAGCCCTTCACATAGATATTTTCCTTCTAGGTTGACCAGAAGAGTTACGTACAGTTCTCATCAGCTAACCAATTTTAATTATTTGGCATGTAACACAAGATAAAGGATTAGAAATTGTGTTTCTTCCTTGCCTCTTTTTCGTCAGGTTAGGGCATCCAAACTATCCTTATAGGAGAGGTGGTCAAGAAGAAATAAAAGACAGTGTCGAATCGAATTCAGTCTAAACTAGCAAAGATCGAAGGAAGGCAGTTTTTCGTCATCCACTACCTTGACCTAGTAATTATTAATCAGGTACTACATTTGGAGAAGCACTACTGGATGAAAGTGGAGCTCAACAAGAGGCTGTGGTTACCACTCTGTGGGCTAAGAAGAAAGCCCGGGTAAAGCCCGTCTGCGCACAAAGCTGTAGTGATGGAAGGTAAGAAGGTGTCGATGGTGACTCAAGTTGGAGAGGACACCAAAGGTATAAACTTTGTTTATTTTATATCTGAGTCTTTTTTGTAATTCAAGGAATCTTCACGAGTGAATTAGTTCTTATCAAGAGGAAAGCTAAGAATCCTTTATCAAGAGCAAGTTGCTCTAGTGCACGACTCTGAGTTGTTGAACAGATGGCAAGCTTGTTAAAAGAGAGTGACATTGAGGGTGTGACCATGAAAGAAGGACCAGAATCTATGCCAATTACCTGTTGACTAGCTACTCAAGTTTCATTGAGCTGTCAGTTAGGCATGAAACCAGTCAACCTTCTCCAGTCATTCCATCAGAGTCTTAGCTCAAGCCTGAGCCAGATGTTCATCATGAATTGACCCTCTGAGCTCAAGCTGGAGCCATTAGTGCATTTGTTTTAATTTAATGAAGTTTTCTATTGTATGTGACACATGCTTTGTGAAGTAGAATTCCTGTACTTTTATTTTGCAATGAATTGGATGAATGTTTAGAATATTAGGGTGCATGTTAAAATAGGTTTTTATATCAAAGAGATGGTTCTTACTTCGTACTTCATTTACATATTCAATCTAACCAATTGTTATGTTAAAATTTGGTGTAAACTATAAGATCCTAGAATGTTATGGCTTTAACAACTACGAGGAACCACATTGAATTTATGGGTGAATGAATAGTAGTCCAAAAATTCAAAGCAATGTTAGGAAGATATTCATTGATTGGGTGTAAATTGGTGTTTCTAAGGTGACAAACTAGATTCCTACCAACTTGATCATAGGCTTCGTATCTTAAATCTAAGATTGAGCCAATTAGAGGGCTATTAGGAGACGGAGACTCTAGGGTGACAAACTAGAAGTTTCATCATGACTGTTGACCTCACTTTTGGTTGAG